ATATATTGACAGTAGCCCCAACTGGCACTTCCTATGTAGATCAGGATGGCCTTGATCTTATGCCTCTGATTTTTGAGTTCTGGGATTAATGTGCACCACCACGCCCCACCAGAATAGTTTTCTTGAAGGCAGGAGTTTTTACCAGTTTTGGTCTCTTTGTTGTATGAATGATTTCCTAAATGAACTGAGTTGACTCTCTGTTACGTACTATGCTGGTACGGAGCATTTCAGGCTTTATAACTAGTGGGAGAGATAGGCGGACCTGCAAGTAATTTCAACAGAAGCACAGTGAAAAATATATTCCTGAAGCATTGTGGGAGTAAAGGGGAAAGAAACACTGATGAACCTGGAAATTCAGGTAAAAGTTTTATGAAAAAAATGAACTCTTGTATGCTGCTGGAGAGAATGTAAATTAATGCAGCCACTATGGAAATCAGTATGGAAGTTCCTCAGAACAGTACAACTACCTTAATGACTGAGCTAAACCCTTTCTAGTCAGCACACCACAGAAATACTTACACATCCATGTTTACTGTCACACCATTCATGATAGCCCAGACAGGGAATCAGCCAAGGTACCTATCAGTGAGTGAATGCAGGAAGAAAATGGGGTTTACAAACACAATGAGGGTCCACTCTGCCATAAAGAACGAGAGCTGGGTGAGGTGCTCACACCTATCGTCCCAGGACTTGGGAGGCTGAGGCGAGAGGATTACCATGAGTTGGTGTCCCGTCTATGCTTCATGAGCTCCAGACCACACTGGGCTGCAGAGTGAGAGAGGCCCTGTCTCACAGACAACTAAATTATGTCATTTGCAGGAAAATAGATGAAATTAGAGATTATCATACTAAGTAAAATAAACCAGACTCAAAAGCAAATACTGCATGTTTTCTCTCATATGTGGAATACAAATTTAAAGTGTGTGTGTGTGCGTGTGTGTGTGTGTGTGTGTGTGTGTGTGATGAAATTGTAAGAGAGGCTATATGGGGGGGGGGACCAGCAGCAGGAGGAAGAGGGAAAAAGACAAGACAACTTGGGAGGTGGTGAATATGGGCAAAGCATATTGCACATGTCTGAGATTTCACATGACATTCATTATTTGGTATGTTAAGAAATTTTAAATTTTTTTCCAACTTAGCACATTTCCTTTGCTTACAAAATCAGTGTTAAAGAAAAAAAAATTTGAAACATATTTAAAGACCTAATTGACTTTTATCTGTGGCCTGTGAATCAGGACAGCATCTCCTTCTATGGACTAGATGAGCTCCAATGAGCAGAGGAGACAAACATTAGAGACAGGAAAGAACTGAAGAAAGCAGAAACGGGGAACAAAGAAATAGATCATCATTCCAAATTACTTCCCTTATAAGGTCAAGTCAGAAGAGATGGACTCACCATCCTGGCTTGGGTTGGCCATAAGCCCCTTCCGTTGGGTTATTGTTGAATATGTTTTCGCTGTTTTCTTTACGATTTATTTATTTTTATGTGTATAAGTGCTTTGCCTGCATGTCTGTATTTCTGGTGCCCTCAGAAGCCAAAGATTGCAGTTGTAGCTACCCGATGTGGGTGCTGGAAACTCAACCTGTGTCCTCTATAAAAATAGCAAGTGATCTTAACCACTGAGCCACCTCTCCAGCCCCATGTTGTCATTTTTGAACTGGCCATTATTTTTTAAATTTTGATCCTTTGAGATTTTTTGAAAATACTGATTCTTTGAGAATTTCAAACAATGTATTTTGATTATATTCTGACACTGTCATCTACCCCCACTTTACTACCCATGCCTGACTTCATGTCCTCTATTATTTTTTTAAGGCTTTTTGAATCTAATTTGTGTCCAAGTGCTCTTCAGTGTGGGTCCATCCCCTGGAGCCTCATCAATCTGCCCAGTGCCACAGCCTTAAAGAAAACTGACTTTCTCCCAGCAGCTCTAAATTGCCGATAATTCTTCAGCTAGAGGTGGGGTGTCTCGCTCGCCTCCTCACTCCCATGCTGGATTTTGTGTGGCTTCATCTCACATAGGTCCTGTGCGTGCTGTCACAACTACTGTAACTTCATATGGGCAACTGCCCTGCCATCTCAATAACACTGCTTCCTTGGGTCATCCACCACCTCTGGTTCTTAACAATCTTTCTGCCGCTTCTTCCACAAAATCCCTGAGCCTTCAGAGGCAGAAGTTTGATTAGGTGTTCCATTTAGGGCTGAGAATTCCACTTTCTTATTCTCTGCACATTGACCAGTTGTGGGTCTGTGTTAATTACCATCGGCTGCAAGAAGGAGCTTCTCTGACAGTTGAGGGGTGTAGTCATCTACAAGTAAAAGAAAAAAGTCATTAAGAGTGGGTTTAAGGGCTGGAGAGAAAACTCAAGTGGTTAAGAACACTGAATGTTCTTGCACAAGACCCAGGTTCGAATCCCAGATCCCACATGGCAGCTAACAACTGCCTGTAACTCCAGTTCCAGAGGATCCGACAACCTCTTCTGTCTTCCATGGGCATTGCACAACATGGTGCACTTACCTACATGCAGGCAATACACGCATACACATAAAAAATAAAAATAATAAATATTTTTTTTTAAAAAGAGTGAATTTAATACTATGTTCACTTAGCAGAATAACAGTAGTAAGTTCTCCCTTATGGCCTGCAACCTTTCAAGCTACAGGTTTTTGGTGCTGAGAACAGTGCTAGGTATGGGCTCCATCTTGTGAAGTGGGCTTTAAATCCAAACGGAAAGTGGTTTTTTGCTCCCTTAATATTCGTGCCACTATTGCACCAGTGGACATATCCTGTCAGGCCAGTTGCTATGGTAGTTGACAAGGTTCACAGTAACTTTTCTCTTCTGGAAACATGAATAGCCCTTTTAGCACTATGAAAGCTAGCCACTAGAAATGAAACTTCAAGGTTAGTACCAGCTTGATTCCTCCTTGTTTGTTCTATGACTCATGTATGTAATGTCTTCAACAATAGGGTCTTACCATCAAGTTCTTGTGGAAAAGCAAGAGCAGGCCCAAGATGTTGAGTATTTTTAAAAATATTTTTCAGGGGACTGGAGAGATGGCTCAGCGGTTAAGAGCACTGACTGCTCTTGCAGAGGACCCAGGTTCAATTTCCAGCACTCACATGGCAGCTACGAACCGTCCTTAACTCCAGTTCCAAGGGAATCCGAAGCCCTCTTCTGACCTCCGCGGCATTGCACGACACAGGTGCCCTCACATACATGCATGCAATACACTCATACACATAAAATAAAAATAATAAAGAAAATATTTTAAAAAATACTTTTCAGTCATTTGTGTTTCATCTTTTGAAGACTTTTCCATTTAATTCCTTGCCCCAATCTTTAACTTTTTTTTTGATGTTTAGTTTTTTAAGTTCTTTGTATATTGCACACATGAACTCTGTCAGAGGTATAGCTGGTAAATATTTTTTCCCATTCTGTATTTTGCCTCATCATGCAAATGATATGTCCTTTTCTGTACAGAAGTTTTTTGGTTTCACGAAGCCCCTTTATCAGTTGTTGGTCTTAATGCCTGTGCTATCAGGATCTTTCCTGTGCCAAAAAGTTCCACTGTATCCCCCACTTTCTCATCAATCAGATCCAGGGTATCTGGTCTTATGTTGAGGTCCCTGATCTATTTGAAGTTGAGTTTTATGCAGGGTGAGAGTTAGATGTAGAAAAGGTCTTTAACAAAATTCAACATCCCTTCATGATAAAAATCATGGAGAATCTTGGGATACAAGAGACATATCTTAACATACAATAATAAAGGGAACATACAACAAGCTGAGAGCCAACATCCTCCTAAATGGAGAAAAACTCAAAGCACTTCCACTAAAATCAGGAATGAGGCAAGGCGGCCCATTTTCTCCATTCCCATGTACAGTACTTGAAGTCTTAGCTAGAGCAACAAGGCAAGTGTGTAGGAGATAAACACAAATCGGAAAGGAAGAAGTCAATGTCTCCTTATCTGAAGATGATATGACTATATACATAAAGACCCTAAAGACTCTGTCAGAAATCTCTCAGAGCTGATAAATGTGGGGAGCCGCCTGCCGTCCCTGCAGATGCCATTACAAGATGGCGCTCACATCCGGTTCATGCTGAGCAGTAAATAAGTCAGTACGCATGCCCGAAGTAATTTTCCACCTTCTAGTCTCTGCCTACCTCGTGGCGTGATATGGGCTGATGAGTTTGCGACCAATCAAGAGTTGCCACGTCCAAGACGGGCTTACTAACCTATATAAGGGCTGGGTTTCCGACATTCGGGGTCTTCACCCTGTAAGCTTATGCTCTCCCTCTCAAGATGCATTAAAGCTTTTCTGCAGAAGGATCCTGAGTGTGCCGCGTCGTTCTTGCTGGCGAGACGATAGCGCAGGACAACTGGTGCTGAGACCCGGGAATTCAACCAAACCATCGTCAGCACCATCGGAGACCCCTTGAGTTCAAGGAGGATTCAGAACTGCAGGTAAGGACGTTCAGAGAGGTATGTTTTTTCTGGACTTTGGCTTGAACCTGTTTCCGCTTTGGAAAGGTAGCTTTGAGGCCTTGGTTATCATTCTGGGAGCACTTATAGTTTTGTTGTATAAAACATGCCAGGCCATTGTGGCGGAAAGTCGAAATGTTCTTGAGGAAGTCCAGGATAGCATGTCAGAAACTGAACGCAGTGAGAGGTTAGGTGCACGAAAAAAGAAACGGGCCCCAAATAAGGAAA